AAGGACTTGGTCACATGGTCTTCCGCCCTAAAGCAGAAGCACATTGTGTCATAATCAAACAACACCATGGATGAGTTTTCCTTTCCTCTTGTCCTGCCCTCAGTCTCAGAGACAAATCAAGGGGAAGATGCCAGGCCCTGATGCATTGGGACCTGGGACAAGCCTTGATCTGGAGTGACCAGTCATGAAGATGGCATGGAGTGGGCAGTGTGCCAACATCCCCCCACTCGTTGGGAAGCAGTGCCTTCTGGGAAGTCTGGATTCCAGCGGGGAGATGTGCAGCCCCCAGCAGGGAGGGAAGGAAGGGGGACATGCACTCTAAACGCAGCTTTGCTCTTAGCCAGGGAACACTCAGTCCCAGGCCCCTGGCCCCTTCTCTACCAAGACCATAAATTGCTGTGCGTCCCGGGCCCGGACACCGGCAGACACCAGACACAGAGTGGGAGACACACCACTTGTACAAACCATTCATTTTATTTCCCGTATCGGGTTTATACAAACTTGCAAGATACAAATGCAGAGCTCACTGGGATTCTTCAGTACCTATATCTAAAAAGAATGCTGTTGAAAGGGGGGTGGGGACTCACCTACTTCAGTCAGGGTGCCCCCTCCTCGGGGAGGGAGCTCATTGGCTAGAAAGATCCTAAGGGGCTGCTACAGCTGCTTGGTCCCCAACAAGATGGCCTCTGCTTACCTAACCTTAACTCTCTTCTAAGGTCACTTTTATACTAAATAAAGACACTGAGATCATAAATTTCCTTGTATGGTTTATTATCTAATACTAACAAATCAAATTGGCCCCAATATGTGCATAAATAGATATATGTATATATATGTATATTTAATATTTTTCTTTAGTTTTAAGAGCTGCCAGGTAGGGAGTGTCTAAAGGGGGAAGGAGTTGATTCTGTCTTGCTACAGTCAGCCCTGCCCCAAGAACATGCCTCTCACCACAGCAGGGGAGCAAGTATGCACAGCTCATAACCTCGGAAAATTTTTAAAGTGACAGTAGCAGGATTTGATTGCAGCCTCTCGGTTATTGATCAGGGAGGTAATGTGCTAATTGGAAGGCCCTAGATTAGTACCCAGAGCTGTCCCCAGCTGGGTTACTTAGCCCTGGGCATCCATCTAGGTCCCATTCATTCACAGCAAGATGCTCCAGCCTGGGGAGAGGGTACTATTGATAGTAAATGTCAAAGTTGGGAGATCAGGCTGCAAATACCAGCTGGAAGCTCTGTGCTGGATTCCCAGTCTGGACAAAAGACTTCCATTAGGCCCAAATCCTTGCAAGGCAAGAGCCCTTGCCGACTTGGACAGTGGATAAGAAGTTTAGAATGCTGAGCTGGTTAGCTAAGCACCCCAACAGCAGCTTGCTGGAGGGAAATCCTTGGGGCGGCAAGGCTAAGATGCCACATTGTCCATAGGAGCTGACTTCACAGTCTGGATACCAGACTGAGCTACCTCCTCCTTAACCACGGCCCCCAGAGAAAGATCACAGAGATCACAGATGCCATAGATGTGATCCAGACCAGACAGGGATCAGGCGACAAGAAGCATGGGAAGTCCAAGGAACTTGAATGTGTCCATGCTGAAGGACCCGTGATCCCTTGGCCTTTGCACCATATCCCGGGACCATCAAGGAACAGATCTCTCGGCATGGGCTGTCACTAAACTGTTTGCCTTTTCCAGCAGGGTGATGAAGGGAGTGATCCAGGAGTGCATGGGGGAGGGGGGTTCCTACTTGGGGGTAACTTTTGTGCACACAACTGTAAACATTTCCTTCAAGAGGATTCATAGCCAATGACCCTAGAGGGTCATCAAGAGTTGACAGTGGGATCAAGCCTCGACCAGGACGTCCAAGAGAATGTCCTGTCCTGGCAAGCCACTCTGGGGGTGAGCTCTGGGGACCAGCCCTGTGCAGACTGGGGCAAGGGGGAAGGGAGCTGCTAGGGAAAGAGGGAAGGGCGCAGGGCTGGGACCCAGAGGCAGCCACCCCAGTCTCCTCAAATCACTTGCCAATTCCATTCAGACATTGCACATTTCGAAAATAGATTTGCTTTTATAACAAAAGCATAAAATAGATCTGTCTTAAAATATGTCTTTCCTCTCCTCTTCTTTGGATCAAAGGCGTGGGGGCCGCAGCATGCGATTAGGAAGAGTGTGGAAAGTAAAGGAGAGGAAACAGGCCTGGACAGGAGTCTAGGAGAGGATCAGACCTCCAAACAAATATATATATTACATATACATCTAGAATGTGTATAATCATCATAAAACATATATTAAGGCATGTCAAGCAACATAAAGATCCAGCTTTATGAAATAAGAGATGAGAGGTGGTAGAGGGCAGATATCAATTCTTGGCATTTTACAGGTATTTCTAAAAAATCACTTAAAAAAAGGAGAGACAGACAAAAAAAAGGCAAAGGCATGGAAGGCCCTGAAATATCTGTTTCTGGTGGATGGAAAAAGTTTGGGGAGGGAAGAGGTTACCTGGGAGCCAATCCCACAGCTAGTCTGTGGGGGAAAAAGGGCAGATTTGGGGTGTTTGAGCTGCACTAAAGGGGGAAAATGGAGCCAACAGTCATGTTCAAAAAACCTGCTAGAAGTGAAGCTAAGTGGAAGCCCCCAGTCTGGTACCCCTCAGGAGCATTAGAATATCCTAAGCACCTAGAACAGTGCCTGGTACATAAAAGGTGCTCAATAAATATTTGTTGAATGAATTGTCATCTTTACTTGCATATGAACCAGTAACTGTCCCAGCCATGAAGGAGTGGAGAACTGACGGAAGATGAAGCCGCTGGTCTTGGGGCCACTGGAGGTCAGGCTGGAGTCTCCAGGTAGCAACTCTGGCAGAGAAGGCCTAAGGGCCAAGGTTTTAGCTTCACTCTCTCCTCTCTCCTCTCTGGCTACATTCATCTCAGGTGGGTGGAGGGGAGGAAGAATGAGCTTTGCTTCTGTCCCTCCCTGACCAGCCTCTCTTTTAGGTGGATGGAGGGAGAGCCACACTAGAAGGGAGTTTTGGGGGACAGCTCAACAGGTCCTCATCTTGGGTGCCAGGGATGCCGGGGGGGTCCTAGGTTCTTGCTTCTAAGCTTAAGCCTGCATCCCTCTTCCGGGGCACACTACCCACAGCACATTCAAGGAGAGGGGGAGGAGAACAAGTTGTGAAAATAGTTAGGAAAGGCCCCAAGGCTGACCACACCCTACACAAGACAGGTCTTACTCTCTGCCTCTGAGCCCAGAATGGGGAGGCAGACCCCAGATCCAGACCTGGAGCCATCTCCCCATCTGCCCTACTCACGTCCTCATGGGACACCTCCACCTGTGCACCTGGGGTGTGCTCAGGGAAGGGACCCCTCAGGCCCCGCTGCCCCGCAAGGAGGCAGGAGGCCAGGGCTGACAGTCCACTCTGCACTCGCACTAACCCGAGGTTCCACCTAGAAGCCAACCCAGCCTCTTCCCATCTTCTCCTGCTCAGCTCCCCTGCCGAAGTGTTCTGCTCCCTCTCCTCCCAGTCTCCTTGGATCCTCCTGGTCCCTGCCACCTTCTTGACCTGCTCTCGACGCTGCACAGACCCCCGCTCGGCTCTCTCCACAGCCAGCCCTGTCCTCTCGGGCTCCTCTCTTGTCCTCTTGTCTTTGGCTCAAGCAGGGTGGTCAGCCTCATGGACTCCAGGAGAGTACGCCTTAGCAGAGACGGGTTGGGGTGCTGGATAAGCTGGGGCGCTGGTCATGGTGCGGGGGTGGGGTGGGGTGGTGTCCTTTGTGTTAAGAGCGGCCAGAAAGGCAGAGCGGCATCTCCTCTGCCCCACTAGTCCTGACCTCGGGCCGTCCGGGGTGTGCTCCCCACCAGGGCGTCTTCTCTAAGTTCCAGTGGGGTCATCCCAACCCCAGCCGGACCTACACCTGGCCCCAGTGGCCCAGGCCTCAGGGGAAGGCTCTCTCTGTCCTGCCAGCTCAGGCTCTGGTCTAGGACCACATTTGAGGAGTGAAGGCTTCAGAGCCGGGCACATGGGTGCGTGGACACTGAGGTATCTGCTCTCCTCTTGGCAGAACCCCCTGGCCCCCAGCCCATTCCCAAGGGACCGTGGGGCAGGGGCCAGGGTGGGGATCCAGGGCCTCAGGTGGGCAGAGGAGGCTTCAGAACGTGGCTCTCTGGAGCTTCACAGCATTGGCCTCGGCCAGGGCTTGCACTAAAGAAAAGAGAAATGGGTAAGGAAGGGATTGCAGCAAGGGGCTGGGCCTCCCACCAGCCTTCCCCAGGAGAGAGTAGTCTTGTCTTATGAAAACCTTGAGGAAGCCCACCCACCCCCTCAGCCCCGAGAGAGGAGAGCAAAGGAACAGAAGACGCATTTCACTTGCCTGGCAGCGAGGGCGCTGCACTGGGGCGGGGCACGTGGCCTCTGCCTCTAGCTGTCCAATGTTATTTTAATTTACAATAAGGACTGGGAGAAACCAGGTCTAAGAGAAACAGTTTCTGGGGGCTTCTCAGGCAGGGCTGCTGGGTATCTCAGCAGATGAGAGGCCCGTGGGCTGGCAGGGGCAGGCCAGGGGCAGGGGCAGGGACAGGTGCAGATTCCGCATGGGCTGGCCCACTTGCTTCTGGAGAAGCAAAGCCCAAGGGCACTGCAGCCCAGGAAGCAGCTCTGCCCCGGGCTCCAGCCAGCACTGCCCGGGGCACGAGGCTCAAGCAGATGGGCGCGGGGCCAGCGGCACGGGGCGCAGGGGAGAAGCGGTGCCAATGCGAGGGTGTGGATGGCTCAATGGGGTGAGGAGGGCCCCACTGCCCGGGGATGAAATACAGTAGAAAGTGCTTACGTCAGCGCTCAGACCCGCATGGTATGGCTGCTGTCGGTGCCCCGGAGGGATTCAGACGACAGGGGGTTGGCTGGTGGAGTCGGGGAGGCGGGGGAGGTGGGAGGGCTTGGGGTGGCACATTGCACTGGAAACAGAAATGAACAGGGGAGTGAATCGGGTGGGTGGGCTGGGGGTAGCAAGGAGCTCGGGCGCCCAGAGCGCGGCGGGAGGCAAGCAGGAGGCGGCTAAGCTGGGGACTTGCCGAAGCAGAGGCGAAGCTGGCCTATTGCCCAGGCCCTGGAGGAGAGCGGCCGAGTGGGCCTGGCTGAGCCCCGGCTCTGTGGAGAGCCAGGGTGACCGTGGGGGGAGGCCTGGCATCCCTGGGCCTCAGGCTCCGTCCCATCTGCAACCCGGGAGTCGCAGACCTCTCCACTAGGGTGTGGATAGGGGTAGCACCTCCTCTAGGGCAGTATCAATAATGATAATGACCAATAGTTCGTAAAATCACACTAACCCACGTCACAGGCCCCATGTTGGGGTTGGATGCAGAGGTCACTGAGTTCATCAGGTCCATGAAAATGGCGGCTTCTAGGCCCAGAGTGAGTTCTGTTAACTCAGATGTGATCGAGGGTCTCAGAAATACCTTCTTTCCCCACTAGCAACTGAGATTCCCCTTCCATCAACCCAGTAAAGGCAGATTTCAACTACCCCCCCACAAAATCATCACCAGACTTAAAGTGGTGACATTCGAATTAATGAGATTTTACGCTATTATCATTATGATTCTGTTAGGGGGAAAGGATGTCCTGAGCTAATTCCATGCAGGCTTTGACCTGTTCTGTATCGGGGCTGCCCTGTAACAATTCCACGTGGAGAGCAGCGAAAGGGAAGGACAATGAGAAGGGCGTCGTGTTGTTTGGGCCAGCATGACAGTCTCCTGACCTGGCCACCTCAGTGCAGTGGGCAGGAGGCTGCCACAGGACGTCCTCTCAGCTCAGAGGAGCACCAGGCATCAGCCAGGCCACGCTGCGTTTCCACAGAGAGAGGCGTCCTGTCGTTGCACGCCCTGTTTCTTGCTTCCCATCCTACGCGGGACCTCACCACCTCTCCTGCCTTCCGTGCAGGAGAAAGGGTTTAGGGGTTCCCAAGGCTCGCAGGCAGACACCCACATCTGCACAAAAGACACGGAGCCCCACAAACGGCAGAGTGTCTGCCCATGACACACCACAGATGGTGCCTGGAAGCCGACGCCTTATCTTGACACTCAGGGCACACAACTCAGGCGTGTGCCCGCCCACATGACCACACATTTGAAACTTCCCAGATGGACACATCCCCTAAGCAGGGACTATCTCCAGAAAGCTGAATAGATTCACATCACACATGCAGTGACGTTCTTACAACTGACTCGTGAAGAGCTCCTTGGAGTCCAGTCACACTGATTTACGCACAATTCTAACAGGTATGACTTGCTGGGCTTCTAGCCCACGGGTGATCAGAAGCAGGACAGTGAGGAGACTGAGGGGCCTCTGACAGCTATAAGAAGACACAACTGGAGAGGACATCTTTTGTGAAAAGTAGACACACTAACAGCTGGGGAGCATTTCTGACAGACCGGTATTGATTAAGCCCCTAAAGGCATTCCTTCAACTGGAGGTCCCCCAAACCAGGGTATTTATAATAATCCTACATGAGCAAGTGCAAAAAAGATTCATGATGTCAAGCATAACCTCTTTGAGAAGACAGAGAAATACTAAATGTCTGGTGAGAACAGATCGATTATGTTAGTTCAGATGAATGTGTGCGATGGATGTGCAGGAGACACGTGATGTTACAAGTATGTGCTCTGCGGGCAGTCATCACATGTACTCACACTTATGAGACCGCATGCTCCCCCATTCTGCACACATAGATATAGAGTCACAAACATGGCAGCATCGACACTGTACGCAACATGTACTGAAAAACGGGACGTTATTCCCCAGATAGCAGAGAAAGCCCAGCACGTGTAAAACACTACCTCCACACGAATATCACACACTCACATGCACACACACCTACACTCTAACAGCTCACCAAATACCACAATGGGTTTCCACACAGCACCCCGCCCCACACCTCTGTATACGCACTCATATTAAACACATCCCTCTACCCACACCACACACTCAACGCACAAGAACATGTGTCTCCACAAACATTTCCTGATATGGACACTGCACGTGACACCAGGCCACATGTACAAACCTAGAGGTGCATCTTCCCACTCCTGCGCACTGGAGTCTGTACATGCCAGGTGTGTCGATCGACACCCCCACACTCATCCCTGACCACGCTCATCCCTTCCTGAGCTGTCCAGTCCACACTGGTCCCTGCCCACAATGCCCAGGCCACACGCCCACACTTGGGCGCTAACTCTCCATCCTGTGCCCGCCAGCCTGACCTGGTGACCTGTGCCCCCCGCTCCCATGCACACAGGTCTTGGGCGTGGACCATGCCCACGGTGCATGTGCCCTGGACAGTCCTTGCTGTGCCCGTGGAGCTGTGACTCTGGGAATCTGGCCAGGGGTGGCAGGGACAGTCGGCTAAGGCTGAGGTCTGGCCCTGCCACAGCCATTTTTTAAATAGTTGGGGTTTTGGCAAAGCAAGTTGACCATTTACACAGCACACAGACCCTGAAATGTAAGCCAGTGTGTATCGAGGGAGAAATCTGAGAGGCCAGGGTGGGTTTTGTTTCCATGGAACCTTTGGCCAGGGAGCTGCAGTGCAGAGCGCCAGGGGCTAGGGCAGGGGCAGAGGGAAGTTGCTCAGTGTTGTAGGCTCTGACCCTCAGAACAGGAAGCCGCCTTTTGCCCAGAGCATGTGGAATTTGATCTTTGAAAGGTTCAAGTTCATATTGCAGCTAAACTACAGGCAGGAGGTCAGACAGAGGCCTCCTGGGAGCTAAACTGGTTCTGCTGCCTCTGGCTGCAGGCGGGGGCGCTCAAGCCCATCCCTTCCCTTGCCCAGGCGAGCGTGCCTCTCTCTGAGGTAACTGCGGGCCTTTCCTTGGCCACCATCCAAGTGTCCGGAGCATCCTAACTGCCAGTAAGGCAGCGGAGGACGTACTTAAATCCCCTTTGTTACAGCCTAAACCCCTCTGGCTTCTGAACATATTCATATTTAGAAGTTAGGGAACCCACACATGGCCCCTATTTCTACTCTAGCTATTGCTGTTTCAACCAGTGCTCGGTCATCAAGACGTGGGCGCCGCCCTGGGCCGGCCCGCGGGGGTGGGCTCTTCCCAGCACCAGGCGCGGTGTGGGGGCTGCGTGCACGCCGACCCACTGCACGGGGATTTTGATTTGAATTTTCCAGATGAGGAAATGGAGCGTCAGGGAGCCAGAACAGGAGCCATCTCGAATCACCAACACCGGCAGCCACCCCTCCCACTCTGGGGGCTCCATTCTGTGCTCCCGACCTGATCGGTGGTTGCCCGACTCGCACTGCTTCTGCCCACGCCACCCCCAGTCTCTGCAAACCCAGCATCCGCCAGGCACCCCCATGGGGCATCTCCCTTGCCAGCCTGCAGAGCCCCTCTCCAGTCCTGAGGCTGAGGAAATATCTGGGGTCCCCACCGCATGAGGGGACCGGGTCTTTCCCCCACCTTCAGCCCTCCTGTCACACAGCTTCACTTTCATTCCTCCCCGATTTGGGGGTGGTACCCCAGGCGGAGTGGACGCTGACCCCCGTTACCCCGTGTCCACTCGGGACCTGCCCGCCACTCTGGTGTGAAATCAGAGCCTCGTGCTCACCCTTTTTTGCTTCTTAGTAGAACAGGGGTTTGGGTGAGTGGCCAAGGTGGTGACTGTCCCTCCACTTCTTGAACCACAGCACTTCCCTTTGTCCTCTTTCTATTTACACGCAGCAGGAGCGGGAAGCAAGAGGATGCCCTGGAACACCCGTCCTCTCCACAGCCTGTCCTCTCCACAACCGGCGACAACATGATCTTTTCCAGTCAGGCTCACTTCGGCCTTTTTTCTGGGCCTTTCCCCAACCTGCCCGGGGAGCGGCTCCCTGCCCTCGCACAACCACTGGCCATTCCTCCCTACAGCACCCAGAGGTCACTGTGGCTCTGGGCCTCTGGGTGTTCCTGGCTCTAGCTCCTCTGTGCCCTCCTTCCCTCCACCTGGCATGGTGCCTGGTGCTCAACAAATGCCCACTTGACCTCGAGGAACATCTCCCTGGCCTGTGCTCTGTCCTGGCCCCTGGAGCGCCGTGCCTCCTCCCCTGTACCTGCTAGCTGCTCTCCCTGGCAGAGCGAGGCCCAGCCCCTCTCACCAGACAGCATGCGGCCCCGACGGGAGGCCTCGGTCGCCAGGGCACAGGAGATTTCAATCCGCTTCTCCTGCTCCTGCAGCTGGCTCTCTGAGTCCTGGGGCACGTCCACAAGGTCCCCCTCGCCGATGGGCACCACGTTCTGCATGCTGAAGAGGCACAGACACACAGACATGGGGGAGGGGACAGGAGGGTCCAATTGGCTTGAGGGGGCCTGTGGTCTGAGGCTGGTGGGAGGCCAGGGGCCAGCGAGTGTGCAGGCTCTGGTTCCCAGCAAGGCTGTGCCCAGGGGTGAGTGGGACCCTGGCAAAACACGAGTTGGGACCCCTACCCTCAACACTTTAAAATCAATGACAAGTTTCAAGTGAACTTTTAGGGCAGCCTTGAAGGGGAAAGAAGTCACCAGCGGGGACCAGTCTGTTTGTCTTGACGACGGAAGTCCTGGGCCCAGCAGGTCCTTTTGTACCCAACGGCCTCATGACTGGCCCTGCCCAGTGCTGGGCTGGCCGCTGCCTTAGCCGCTGCCTCCACTTGCTCTCCACTGGGGAGGTTCAGGGCCCCCAGCGACAGGGGCCCAGGTGTCCTAGGTGCCAGGGTGGGCAGAGCCGTGGCGGTTCCCTGGCCTGTTACCTGGACTTGGCAATGAGAGTCTTAATCCTCTCCACCTTCTTCTGCTTCTCTTTCAACTCCTCAGGGCTCAGGGGCGCATCGGGTTCCAAGTCAATGTAGCGCTCGGGAATGAGGACTTTGTCTGGGGTGGAAAGCTGCAGAGGGACCGAGGTCACCGCCTCAGGCCCCTTCTGGGCTGCTTGCTCTCTGCCCCTCCTGGGCTCTGCTTACCTCCTTGTTGATGTCCACGTCATAGTGCTGGGGCTCAAGCTCCATCTTGCGCAGCCGGGCAATTTCTTCCCGCGGTGTCTCGTAGGCCTGCCCTCCAGGCTCCTCTGCCCGCAGGGCTGCCTCCAGGTTGGAGATGTCCACCTCGTGGATACTGCGGTGACGGCGCACCTAGGGCCAGGGCACTGTGAGCGTGCAGGGCTCCCCAGGCTGTCCTGGCCCTCCTGTGTGGTCACCACCGCCCCTGCCCACAAGCAACCGCCCTGCTGCTCCACTACCCCTGCTATGCGCCCCCACACCCCCAGAGACATCCTCTTCCATGCTGTGTGTCCAAAGTCTGACCCCCTGAAGGGGCCAGAGGTAAAGTATGATCAATATCTCTCATCGGTACTTGTCACTTCCCATCCTGCTGTATCCTGGATTCACATTCTGTGGCTGCTATTTGAGGCTGGTGAATCAGTACATTGAGTTCTAATTGTGACATTTTCTAGACATTCCAACCCACCACTAGAATATAAACTGTTTGAGGGCAGGATTCACGAATAGTAATTTTTCTGTATTTCTGAAATTGAGTGGAAAGAAAAATTAGGTACACATCTTAGATGCTAGGTCTGCACTTAGTAGCTGTGAAGTCCCAGAATCCCTAATTCCTTGTAACTTTGTTCCCCTGTCTCTAAAATAAGCATAAGAATTTCTGACTCAGCATTGTTGAAAAGGATTAGATGAGGTAACAAGAACAGGACTTGTGACTTGCACGGTGCCAGCCGTGCAAGTTGTTATGTGATCCTTGCTGCACCCAGGCTGATGCCAGACACACAGAAAGTGTGTTTGACATGAAGGTCATTTCTGGACAGTTTTGCCCTATCCTGTATTTGCTGGATAATAATAATGCCTTAATAATAATTAAGGCATTCCTTTTTTTGTGAATTTTTCTTGAAACACAAGAAAGGAAAGACTTGGGGCCTCCCTGGTGGCACAGGGGTTAAAGACAGCACTATCAAGCCATCACCAGCCACTGCAGCACGAGTTCCATCCCCGGCCAGGGAGGTGACCCACATGGCGCAGCAGACCTCTCCTGTCTCGCCCGCTGCTCCCCTCAGAAGTGTGTTTCAGTTACTCCTCCCCTTCTGTTCCCCAATCTGTCTCTGGTGAATCCTCTCACCATCCGCACCTCTGGACTGTGCCCCAGTTCTTGTATGCATAAATAAATAAATAAATAAATAAATAAATAAATAAATAAATCTTTTTCCTTTTTTAAAAAAGGAAAGACTTGTCACAGTACCTCCCTTCCCAGTGGGGGTGCCAGGTGGCATCCAGGTGCCCAGCTTGGGTCCTTCCCAGGCCCTCCCTCTTAGACACTTCTTCCCTCCCACCCCAACCTCCAACACTGGCCAAGCCTGGGGTGGGGGGGGGGGCGGAGGACTTTACCACTTTGTAGGTGGGCCGGGGGCTCGGATCAGGGGCCGGGCTGGCTGGGAGCTGCAGGCTTCTCCGCTTCTCCTTGATGGAACCGCTTTGGTGCCGCCGCATGCGGTCAATCTGCTCCTCCACGCTCATCTTGACCTTGCCCTCACCAGGGAACACGGCGCTCTTGGGGCGCTCCTGCTGCAGAGAGAGAACAGGACTCTGGCCTTTGCTCATGCCCCACTCAGCATTTTCATCTCCTTTTACCTTAAAATTTCCCTTCCCTGCAAAAGTACGTCCAAACCCTAACCCCCAGCACCTGTGAATGTAACCTTATTTGGAAATAGGATCTTTGCAGATGTAATTAAATTAAAGATCTCAAACAGATCATTTGGAATTACGGTGGATCCTAAATCTAACAGGGGGTGGCCCTCTAAGAGACAGAAAAAAACAAGACACGCAGAGTAGAGGGTGACACAGGCAGACAGATTGGGGTGACATGTCGACAAGCCAAAGAAGTCAGAGAAAAGCTAGGAGGGCGCGTGGAATGGGTGACCCCTTGAGCCTCCCGAAGGGACCAAGCAAGCTGGCACCTTGATTTTGGACTTCTGGCCTCCAAACTGTGAGCAAATAAGCTTCTGTTGTTTTGAGTCTCCAAGTTCATGGTATTTGTTAGTTTTTTAGCAGGGCTAGGAGTCGAATGCACATTTGACATTGGTCCTGCTGCATTTGCATTTCCCTCAGGAGCACGAGGATACTTTGGTTAAATGTTTTCATATCTCCATCGTGCACACGTTCCTGTCCCTCTGCCTTCCTCCTCCAGCTGTGGGCGAGCAGAGTCCCAGCTCAGGCCCTACAAGCCCATGGCACTGCAGGGAATGCTCACCCGGGAAGACAGCCCGTTGGGGAGCCCGTTGGTGCTCCTCCTCAGCACACTGGAGGAGGTCACGTCATCGTCAGTGGGTGACTTGGTCCGAGGGGGCACAATGCCAACTGCAAAGAGACAGAGTAGCCACCAGCCTCATGCCCAGCAGGAAGGCAGGGAGAGGGGGCTGTATCCCTCAGAGGCTCAGTCCCCCTCTGCAGAGCTGGACACATGGGCTGGGGACACACTCTCTGGGTATGGAGCACCCCTCTGGGCTCCTCTCTGACCCAGAGTCTCACAAGAGGAGGAAGGGACAGGAAGTACCTTTGTTGAGCGCAGCCTGCTTCTCCAGCTCCACCTCTTGCCTGGTGGGCATGAGGCTGATGTCTCTAGAGGTGTCCAGGGGTGAGGCCTGGTGGGAGTCTTTCTTGCTTTGCTGGGGAGGAATGGTGAGAAGATGGCTGATGCTAGAGTGGCCACAGGGAGTTTGGCCCCCGGTGACATTTCTTTGGTTCAAGCTGGTCAGAGTGCAAACCCTTGAAAATACTGGACGGAAAGCTGTGTGCCAGGTGGGCAGTGGGTAAGGGTGTAGAGGAGCCTCTCACCCTGTCCCCGTCAGGTTGGCCCAAACCAGCCATTGTGGGGAGGGAGGGCTCGGGCCTCCAGGAGGCCCTCAGCTAAGGCCCATCCTTAGTGGCACAGCCCTGCTGGGAGTGAGAGTTAAGGAGTGGCCAGAGGAGGGGTTCCCGGTCAGCAATCTCTGAGGATTCTGTTGGGATTCCGCCCAGGACTTGAGCAAAAGAGCCAGGATTCTGAGGAGGAGGAAAAGGCACTTAGCTTGTGGGCTCGAACACCATGAGACCGGAAGGGACCTCGGATGCCACCTGAGCCCCACCCCCAGCACCTGTGCAGTTGAAAACTCTAGGTCTCAGTGAGGGCAACAAAGAGAGAAAAGACGGGGCTGGAAGTCAGAACTTCAGTGGCAGCCCAGTCGCAGGGCTGGGTAACTTCTGTCTCGTTCCTTCCTTGTATGTTGGAGGAAACGGAGGCTGCTCCACCCTCCTCTCTGAGCAAACGGTCAGGGGTCACACAAATGACCAGTAGCTGAATCGAGATGAGAACGTGGGTTTCCCAATTTTAGGCACAGGACTCTACTCACCACACACATCTAATTGCCCCTCTCCTGGACCTGGGTTAAGGGTCCAGGCAGGAGAAGCCAGAAGAGGGGAGAAAAGGCCCAAATCCCTCCAGGGATAGATGAGCCCCAAAGAAGACGGTGGCCAGGCAGAGACAGAGTGCGCGTGGGAGGACTGGGGTGCGAGCTGGCAGGAGCAGGCAGACTGGAGTGGCATGGGGGACTGTGGGGGGGTCACTTGATTTCCATGTCTGGTCAAGCTGGGAGGGAGTGGGGCGCAACCCACCACCTACAGGGGCCGCCCATGAGCCTAGGCATGGAGGGGGCATTTCCCCAAGTCCACGGAGCGCAGCAGGGAAGCGAGCCTGTGTTTGCGCCACGAGAGCCCTTTTCCTTATCTTAGAGCCCAGCTCGGCAGAGGGCGCCAAGAAATTGAACTGTGGAAAATTAATATTGGAATGGAAAGTGATTCAGTGCCCTGCCTGGCACCCTAGCCTGGCCCTTGGCCCCCTGCCCTCCAGCCCTGCCCTCCAGGACCCAAGGGTGCTGGGTACCTGACCCCTGGCTGTCTCGCCACTGCGGTGCCAGGAAGGGGAGTTGGGGTATGGCCAGAAGCGGCTCTCGCTAGGGAGTGGAGGCACAGTTGGAGGAGACTCCAGGGGGACGTAGGCTTTGGGAAGGGGAGGCCTTGGTGGGCCAGGTTCCTGAGGCAGAGAGAAGCCAGAGCACATTAGGAGGAACAAGAGCAGCCACTGTGAGAGCAGGAGAAAAGAGTGTTAGCAGGACGCAGACGACAACATCGCTGGCGGCCCCGACGCCCGCCCTTGACCCTCCAACTCCAGAGCTGACCTCCTGCCTGGCCCCTCCACTGGGCCCCTCCTGCGCAGTTCCCCACACTCCCCACTCTCCTTCCAGCTCTCCTCACTGCCTCGGCATCACACGGGCACGCTCCCACCCCTGCACGTGGCTTCTGCCGGCCCCGCCTGCACCGCTGCCTGGCGCCTGACTCCCTCTGGTGTGTGATGGCCAGGGCGGGTTCCCTGGGCCATCTCTGGACCTTCGGGGCAGTCGGGGTCTGAACCACTGGTCCGGCATGAGACACGCACTGCCACATTCCAGAGGCCAGTCTCCTCCTCAGACTCGGCCTTGGCTCCCCGGGTGCTAAGCTGAGTGCAGGGCTTTGGGCGTGCCTGGGCCTCTTGAGAGCCTCGCGCCATCCACGCCCACAGAAAAGCCTCAGTAAGCACCTGTGCTGACCGACTAGGAAGCTGCTCCTCACCCCAACCCTCAACCGTTTCACCCTGAACAATCCTGGGCTTAAATTCCTAGGGAGCTGGTGTCAGGCTGACCACCCCAGCTAGGGAGGAGACATCCCCGAAAGGCAGACAAAGATGGTGGGCAGAGATGAGAGCAGGTAAAGGAGGACTATGGGGGAGGGCACTGCCCTGGGTGTATCAGTGACCACCTGAGATAGCCACGCCCGGACTGGGGCCTCCGGGAAGAGATGGGCACAGAAGAGTGCAGCCCCTGGCACACGGGGACCCGTCTCCTCCCCACACCTACCTTCTACTCCGTTTTCTCAGCTTACCTCATTGGAACCAGGTTTGGTGGGAGAACCCTGGGAGCCAGACACTAGTGAGAAGGGGCTCAGGGGGCTGGTGAGACTGGCGGAGCTGAGTGGGCTGGCAGGGCTGTTGGAGCTGTAGCTGGCTGAGGGGCCAAGTCCTCCTGGGGGCAAACAGAGAGGACAGCAGTGAGGGCACAGCAAGGGAGGGCCTGGCATAGGGGTGGTGCTGTGGGTGGAGGCAGCAGGAGACGGCCTGGGATGTGGGAGGGTTTAGTGTCTCAGGGCCAGCTGGGCCTGCTGAAGGGACTTGGGCTATAGGCTGCTGTTGAGAGGCAAGCTGGGCTGAGAAGAGAAATGACACTCTTCACCCAGGTGTCAAATACCAAAGCCAGCCCAAGGCCCTGGAGCTAAAGGATGATATAAGATCACTAGGGAGCTCAGGTGGCACATGGCTTCAGGGATCGCTTCTGGAAGGGATTCTAGCGTGTGGGGTCACGAGCATCTCTGAATGGTATATCAGGTATATTCTAGCAGGGAAGGGGGTCCTCTCTATCATCACAGGCCTTGGGAAGGTTCTGGTATCTAGAAAGTCCTGACTGGCTCTGAGCTGGTGTGGGATGGAGGCGAGAGATACCAGAGCATTTCCGGTGAGGCCAGAGCTCAGAAGGCTGATGAGGAGGCACCCACCTCTGTGCTTTGCCGTGTCTGTGCCCCGGGATGGGTTATTCTTCCTCAGCCCCTCCATGGCATCCTGGATCCTCCAGATCTCCTTCTGGATTTGCCGGTTGAGTGCCTCATTCTGCAACAGCCACAGAACAGGTCAGAGGACATGGCTGCTGTCCAGCCTTCTCCCTACATCCCTTTGGATCAGCAGTAGGAAAAACCTTGTGTGCATGTGTGGGTGCAAGCACACTACCCCCCCCCCACACACCCCCATACACAATACAACCCTTCAGCACCATCTTTCCATGGGCAGCCTCTGCGTTCCCCAGGGGAGAGCAGAGCTGCCTGGAGCCAATGTCCCTCTAGGGGGCTTCATGAAGCCTGTGTCCAGGAGTGAGGGCATCCAGTTTACCATTTTTCCTGACACCCAGCCAGCCTCTCTGTAATGCCCACCCCCTCAACATGCCTAAATATTCACAATTACATTCAACTACAGCATCTACTCTTTAAAAACCAAGAGCTGCTGTTTATTTGTAACCCCTCTACTGGGCTTAGTGTTTTGCATACACTCATTCATTCCAGCTACACAACTCAAGAAAATAAGCACAGGGCCTCCCTGGTGGCGCAAGGGGTTCAGCACAGCACTGTGAAGCCGTCAGCAGGCTCTACAGCACGAGTTGGATCCCGGGCTGGCCAGGGAGCTGACCCACATGGTACAGCAGACCTCTCCTGTCTCACCCGCTGCTCCCCTCAGCAGTGTATTTCAGTCAGTCTGCCTGTTCTGCTCCCCATTCAGTTTCTGGTGAATCCTCTCACCCCCTGCAACACCTCTGGCCTGTACCCCAGTTCCTGTATGCATAAATGAATAAATCTTTTTTTTTTTTTTAAAAATCACAGTAGCCATGTCCGCTTCCAAGATGAGGCAACTTGGGCCCAAGTCTCTCTGCTAGTAAGTAGGCAACACTGTCTGCAAAGGGGCCTGTGCCTCTCAAAGGCCGGCGCTGGAGCAGGCAGGCATGGGCTGCTTCCTGAAGGGCTTGAGCCCAAAGTAAGTCTTGCTCACAGGTCACAGCAGCATCCGGGTCCTCTGAACACAAGGGCCTTCGCCTCACCTACCTGACCAGCTGCTAGGCGGAAGTTAAGTTTTGTTACTCAGGAAGGCATTGGGGAAACCAGGGTGTTAGTTTTGTCAGAAAGACATGGCTTGCAAAGCTGGCTAGAGAGGAGACAGCTGGCAGAGCAGAGACAGAGGGAGGGAGTGAATGCAAGCAGCCCAGATCAGTGTTCAGCCTCCTGCCGCCAGGGGGAGCTTTCTAGCTCATCTTAGAAGGGAAAGCTGTGTGATCTCAAATTCCCCAGTGGATTGCTCCCACACTGCCCACTCTTCTGATGTCATGAGACCCACTTATTTTTGTACATCTGTGAAGTCCTTTCTGTCCTAAAACACCTTAGGGCTGACCTAAGCCTTCTGTGCTTTGACTTTAGCCCCGTCCCCATGATCTGAGGGAATGAAGAAGCCACATTATCTTCATCCTGAAACTTAGAATCTACTTTCAGCGGCCCCACCTTGTCCTTGGTCACAGATTCCACTCCTCATCTTAATTCCTCAGGTCTTTGATGCAAGAAAGGAAGCCACTCTGCTCTCTTGGGGCTGAAAAGTCAAGGGGAGGCCTCAGGAGCCTCACAGGCCTGGACCCCCACTTCTGTTCAGGGACCACCTTCACCTGATTGTCCAAATTGAGCTGCTCCCAGAGGTCATCATGCAGGGCAGAGACCTCGGCCTCCAGGTTCTCGTACTCTGTGGTGCTGTGGGCCAGGGCCTGCAGGGGGGGGACACAGAGAGACTTACCATCCCACACTCCTCCTCAACTTTGCTACTGGGCCTGAGGCCTGAGGCCTGGGAGGGAGCTCCTGGTCTGAGGAGGGAGGAGGACACAGGGACACATTCAGCTGACCTCAAACACTGGCCTTTCAAGAGGTGCAACAGCTAGTCCTGCTGCAAAACAGCCCTGTCCGGATGTGGGGAGAGGCCCAAGGGATGTTATCCTCCACACTCTTGTTCGCCCTGGTGCCAGAAAGCAAAGGGCAAAAAGGAAAGAGCCAGGGGGAGGGGGGTGCCTGCTCTCTGGAGGCTGGAGCACATTTCCTGGGGCTTCTGCCGCTGCTCTCCAGGGGAGCCACCAGGCTGGAGCCTGCATCAGGGGCCGCCCTGTGCCCATCGGGAAGTAACCAGGGCAGTGGCATTTGTTGGTGTCCTGGTTCTCCAGGGAAGAGGACAGAGGTGGGCAGCACAGCTGTTAGGGCAGCCAAGGAGATAAGCAGCCCAGGACTTCCCCATTTTGAGCAAGCCCCTGCAGGGGAGCTGTAGGAAAAAAGCTGGGGGCCTGGGGGGAGCCTCAGCGCGTGAGCAGAACAGCTTGTGCCCCTTTGTAAGGCTGCATTCAGGACTTTGGTTAGGCCCCTCCTGAGCAGAGACCCCTTGCCCCCCCTTCAGAGGAGACTCTGGATTCGGGAGCACAAGCTGGGGGGTGCTCTCCTGCCGCTGTGCCCCCAGCGGGTACCGTGGTCGCCTGTGACAGCTCCACTCGGATGTCGATGAGCTGGTTCTGCAGGGACTCCTTCTTGTGCAGCAGCTTCTCGGGGTAGGCAGGCTGGCTCCCGAACATCTCCAGCTCCTGGTGGGTCCCCATCAAGGCGCTCTCCAGGCTCTCCTGAGACAGGCAGGGAGATGGCTAGGCACAGTCCCAGACCTCCTCGAGGGAGTCTCAGGCCTGACCCCCAGGGGTTCAAGCAGGTACTGAGAGGAGGCTGCCTCCACCCTGGCCGAGGTTCTCAGGACAGCCTCAGGGCAGGTGGGAGGTTAGGGGAGACAACGAGCCACATCTCCTCCACGCAGCCTCCCTCCCGCCCCCCACAAGTCCGCGCTGTGGCTCTCACCTTTTCAGCTCGGAGCTGCTGCACGAGCCGATCCTGCTCCCTCACCACCTTGTTCTGCTCACACAATTTGCCCAGCAGCTTCTGGGTTCCCGAGAGAGTGGGGGGAAGGGAAGGAGAGAGACGGGGGTGAAGGACACATGGTTTGATGGGGATCTGAGAACTGGGTTGGCAGGACCTGGCTCCTAGGTACCACCTCCTTTCCCCTGCTGAGGGACCTTGGGTCTTCACCTTGACCCTGGAGGCACTCAGGAATACTTCACCCCAAGGACCCGCTGGAGGGGAGATATGTTTGTTCTCTGAGGAAGTGAGCTAGCTGAGAGGGGAGAAGGCTGAGCACCCCGTGCTAAGCTCCTGCACTCACTCCCATCCTCTTGGAGGCCCCAGTCCACAAAGGAGTGAGGAGATGATGTGGCCTCTCCTCCCAGATGGGTATGGATTGGAGCGGGAGCAGAGGGTCTCAACAGGCAGCCTTGAGAAGACCAGTGAACAGTGGAAGTGATTCCTCAGCCCCACCGGGCCATGGTTCCCTCCTCCCTCCAGTCTCTCAGGATGGCTGACGCAGGGTCCCTCTAAGGTCTAGTCCCTGCCTGTGTGGAGCCTCTCTTGGGGCTGCTGGATCCACTACCTAGCAAGGTCAGTGGTGTAGGAGGAGGCATATTAAGCCAAAGTTCTCTTCTGGAAAGAAGTGTGCTTCCCTGCATCCACACCTCTATTCACGGCACTCCCCAAGTACCGCCTGGCACCTTCCTTCCAAGCCAAACCTTGCTCTCTGGATCTCTCCTTCAAGGCCCAGCTTGCATGCTCCCTGCTTTGTCCCTGACCCACCAGCCCACATGCCCTTGCTGCCCCGCGCCCCTGCAGAAGCTGTTCTAGGTTCAACTTAGTATATGAATCGTCTGCCGCCACCTGCTGCCTGCCCCCCCCCCCCGAACCCCCCCTACCCTGAGGCTCCCTGAGGCTCCCTGAGGGCAGGGCGGGCCCGTGTTCTTCCTTGCAGACGCCTAGGGACTAAGGTCATGCTGGACAGAGCAGGCTGACTGATTTACCTCCTAACCAAGTCTGTGCTCCTGCAATAGGCAGATCCACTGCAGCAGACAAGAGGGCCTGGAGCTCAGTGGAGAGACACACACAGCCAGCAAGGGAGGCGGGGTAAGTGTTAGGAATGAGAAAAGAAGGGGAGGAGGAGGAGGTGGGCAGAATGCTGTCTTTGCGGTGAGAGAGGACATGAGTCAAATGCATGAAGAGCCACCAGATGGAGCGAGATGGACGGAGGAGAGCCCGCAGGGGGCGGGGTGAGACCACGGGGGCTGGAGGGACAGGGAGCAGAAGAGCTGCTCTTACATCTGTGTCTTGCTCGTTTAACTTGTAGGTGTGGAGGCTGTCCCGGAACACTTCTGGGTACGGAGGGACCTGCAGGAACACGAGGCCAGTTACTGCAACGGGGACACATAGCATGTGGGGGCAGGAAAGCTGATGACGTCGCTCCATTCTTGCCAGAATGGAGATGGGCCGTGGCCCATCACCTGTGGTAACTTCCATTCCAGGGACCCAACTTGAGCTAATTCTCTGTCTCTGAAGGGATGGCCCAGTCTAGACTCCATCCCAATTGTCCTTGGATGATTGTGGAGACAGAGAAGGCCGCTCAGCTAGGATCCCCAGCTTTCTCTTCAAATTATAGGAGCTACTGCCGAGAAGTATTCTAGCGTATCCAGGAGCACCCATGAGAATGGCGAACCACTGGGCTCTTTATGAGGATACGGTTGGGGGAACTATAGGAGACAGTCCTGCACACTGGAGGTGTTTGGGAATGATTACCCCAGTGCACGGAACAGTCACAGCTGGAGCAGGACCACAAGCATCTCTGGGTCCAGCCAACCTGCCTCACCTCACAGATGCATCGACACCCACAGCACGTCCTACGTGACTTCGCATGAGCCGATTCCACATCACACCCCTCATGCCTTCACCCCAATGACATCGGCTAAGGTGCCAACTATAAATCAGAAGGCCTAGGCAGCACAAGGCACGTATGCGATCCCTGGCATGGCATGAGATGTCGGTGCCCGATTTTTGATGGTTTGGGAAATGGGCCTGGGGTTTACCCATGAGCGTGAGGAATGGAGGTTGTCCAGGCTGAGCCTGGGAGATGAGGCTGCAGATGAGCGGATGGGGCAGAGCCCACCCAGGTGGCTGCACTCAACCATGCACAAGCAGCTGAGATGAAGCTGACAGGGACATGCTGCCAGGTGGAGGTCTTACTTGCATGAAGAGTTGGGCCCTGGGGGAGGAGTTCTCCACCATGCGGTTCACCATACTGATGAGTGTCTCACTCTCACTCATCTGCAGCAGAGGAAGGAACGGACGATTCAAATGCAGACCCACGCAGAGGTCTCTCTCCCAGCCCACCTGCTCGTTTTCCAGAAACAGGAAAGGGCAGCTCCTCTCGGGGCGTCCAGCAGCCAGTGTTTGACCCTCCCACCGCTCACCCCCGTGAACTCCATCTCAGGTCCAGCGCTGAAGCCGCCTTGAGGAAGAGCCACTGAGGGGAGCTGGGCGGCCACTGGGCCCCCGCTCTCGGCTCCAAGGATCCCCATCATACGCCGCCCCGGGGGGCCAAGTGTGCAGGTCTCACCCACATTTCCAAAGCCGTCACCTCCCTGCCCCGGGCTCTTGTTTCCCACATTGCTTCGGTCAAAGACAGATGGAAAGACTCATCTCCCCAAATTAAATAAAACAAACATAAAACTTAGGCTCTGTTCCTTGGATGGACAGATTCATAGGCTCAGGTCTCCCCCCGCCCCGGCCGCCTCGTGGCTCTAGAGTAGGAAGGATTGCTAGACACGGTTTCCAGAGCTGGGCTGGATGCGTCCATGCTGGTCTCAGATGATGCAAAGGAGCAAATAAGGAGGCCAAGACAAGCAAGCCGTGTTAAAGGGACACCGGACGTGGGGACACTGCTCTCCCGGTGTGTTAGCTTTGTTTCAAGGGGCGTTGAGAATGTGGAGGGGAAAGGCTAGCTGCCAATGAAATAGGGAGAGGGAGAGAGGGAGAGAGAATGGGAAGAAGGAGGCAAAGGGAGGCTGAATCAATGCCATCGAGTCCCGCCGGGTCCAGTGTGACCGCGTGGAAAGTGAGTGCATCAGGACTGCCCTTGGCTATGTCCCTTTAACGCAAATGATCTTCAGGAAAAGGCAGAAGACAGAGGGTGTGTGCAGGAAAAGCTTTTGGGGAGGGGGCGTGAATGAGGGAAGGGACAGAGCCACCTTAGGACAGATCTTCTGGGGTCACAATTCAAGGTCCCCAGTTTTTACCACTGTCTTCCCAGTCTTTGTTGGGCCCATGCTGTGTCTGAAGCAGCAGCGATGCCTTGCTCTGTGTGCTAGAGACAGGGCGAGGGGCACCCCTGGCCCCCACTCCCAGGGAGCACAGCCCGCAGGAGGCTCTCCTGGGATCTAATTCTTGCCTCTTTAGTCCAACTGGTAATTTTTTCTATGGCAAAAAGTATAATTTAAAGGCTCTCAAAAGAGCAATCGTAATAGATGGCTAAACCTTTGTAAAATAGTTATAAGTCAACAGGCCATCAGCTCATTTCTATAAGGATCTGAATTCGGTGTCCCCATCTTATGTGTGTGTGTGTACATGTGTCTGTGTGCATGTGTGTGTACACACATACATGTTTCTTTTGGTATGTGTGTTGTGTACACGTGTGAAGTCAGAGCTGCCACAGCAGGCTTGGAGACCCCGGAGAGGCCCTGGCTCCTCCTGTCGCTCACTGATCTCATTTCTTCCCCAGTCAGTGGATCTGGGGCACCAAAGGAAGGAGACAGAATGTTCCCCCTGGACTCACACCCATGATGCGGGAGCTTAGGGCTCTGTCAGCCCACAGAGGCCTAGCCTCTTAAGAGGGCTCCTACGCGCACCTCTCTTTCTCCCAAGTGTAAGAGAAACATTGTGAGGAAGTCCCCAGCCATTGCCTTATAGGTAGTAAGGTGCCTGAGCGGTATTGTAAATTGAGTGTTAGAAGAAAAAGAACAGTAAGCGGGTCACAGCAGTCATTGTCAGCACCTGCCAACGCCTGACAAGATGAATCTCCCTTGACTCTGAAGGGCAGGTCTACGGCACTCATTTTAGGACTGACAGAACAAAGAACCAGAGCGACTGAGTGACATTTCCAAGGCTTAGGGGAAAAAGCCTCGTGGGGCAGAACAGAGGAGAGAGCGGAGTCTCCCTCGATGGTGGACTCTTCTCAATGGTAAAAAAAAAAACAAACCTGCCTTTTAAGATTATCCTGGGCCTCCCTGGTGGCCTAGGGGTTAAGTCGCAGCACTATCACCACTACCTAAGTTCGATTCCCAGCCAGGGAGCTGCCCACATGGCGCTTCAGACCTCTTCTGTCTCACCCGCTGTTCCCCTCAGCAGTGTCTTTCAGTCAGTCTGCCTGTTCTGTTCCCCGCTCTGTTTCTGGTGAATCATCTCACCCCCTGCACCTCTGGGCTAGACCCCAGTTCTTTGGTATAAAAAAACAAACAGGGCCTCCCCGGTGGCGCAGCGGTTGAGCGCTGGATTGCGAAGCTGCCCGCGGCCTCTGCGGCGCCGGTTCGATCCCCGGCTGCTCCCCGGCCACCGGAGGAGGGTCCCACATGGCGCGCAGACCTCTCCTGCCGCCCGCTGCTCCCCTCAGCGGTGTGCCTCGGTCCTTCTGCCTGCTCTGCTCCCTGCTCTGGCTCTGGTGAATTCTCTCACCCTCCCGCGCTTCTGACTGTACCCAGTGCATGTATAAACAAACAAACAAATAAATAAATAAATAAAAACATGCCTCTATAAAAAAAAAAAAAAAAAAAAAACAAACAACATTATCTTGGACCTAGGAGGAGAAAAGGTCATTTCTGAAACTGCCAGTTGGAGAGCCCATCCTTCTGTGAGGGCAGAAGTGCCCACACAAGGCCTGCTGTCTGCCTGGAGGCTTTGTGGAGGGGCCACTGGGAGGAAAGGCTGTCCAGGAGCCCCAAGGGCACTGGATCTGCCCCTCACCACTCCCGTACAGCAGACCCCACTTCCCACCACGGCCATCCGGGACTCCCAGGGCTCCCCCGTCCTGCTTTAGAACTCGGCTCCACATGGATTTGAATGCTCATGATGTGGACAACACGTGCTGTTTCTGGAACTAGAATGTGATGTCTCTGAGGTCAGAGAGCCGTCTCTGTCCATTAAAACTCAGGCATGGGCTTCCCCCGCCACCGGGGCTCAAGGCCCCTTACTCAGATGGTCGCGCTGAGACTCAGGCCTTGGCTGATGATGACGAGTAACTTGCGAGTAGAACTACCAACAGGTGCAGCTACATGCCCTGATTCCAAGTTTATGGTTCTTCCTGCAACATTAAGAGCACAGAACTGTCCTGATGAGGTTCAACCTAGCGTCTTTATATATTGGATGTTTTCTCAGCTGTAAACTGGGTCAATTTTCTAGGCTCTGTTATTTACTGGTTATGTGTTCTTGACACATGAGCTAACCCCTCTGAGCTTTAGTGTGAATGTTATAAAAGGGGATAACAGTGCCTGCCTTGCAGGAGTGTTATCAAGATTAAATGAATTAGGATCTGTGAAGTGCTTAGAATTGGAGAAACCACCAGTGTTTTCACCAGCCCAGCGCCACCCTCCCCAGGACAATACTGTGTGCATCCAGGTCTCCCGCCCCCTGATTTGCAGCACAGGTCTGAGCATAAGTGTGTGCCATATAGATGCCGAGCACATCGACCTCTGGCTGTGCACTCCACAGCACCCTTAGCATTAAAGGCAAGGGATCTCCTGGTCAGAGCTCTGGAGTCAGAGGCCCTGGCAGCCCATTGCTTCCCTCTCTAGGAACCACAGCCCAGCTCAATCGCGAGGCTGGAATCACAGCACCTTCTCTGTACACTGCCCAGAGCTCCGAGGAACATGTGATCCATGCCAGCAAAAGAATTTTGCAGAGGAACTATCAAATATACTGAATATATTTTATAAAGCATCCTAGGGCAGCCCTCAGCTAGCCACAACTTGAGGAATATGATAGGAAAATTTCTCTGATTCAGTCTGAACTCAATTCCTAGCATTTTAGACCCAGCAGGGTCTCTGCTAGTCTCTCCAGCAAAAATGCAAATGCCCACTTGCCCCCTGAGGGCAGTTCCATCTGGGCTGAACAAACAAGAGGTGGCATTAATTATTAATGGGGTCATTTACTAGTCCCCTTTCCCCAGGAAAGTCCCAGCTGCCCTAAGGGCTTTGAAGAGAAAGGGTGTGAAAGAGCAAACCAAAATATAAGCCACTTTGTTGTGTCCTGGTTGTGCCAACAAAGGTTGTCAAATGGATGGAAGATGAGGAGGTGGGGAGGAGGGGGGAGACGACAGGAGGGCAGGGGATGGCAGGGGGCACCAGCTCTGCCTACCTGCTGATCCAAATACTCTAGGTTTCTTTGCAACTGAAGGTCTAAAAGTTCATCCTACCCGGAGCCCGAGGCCCACCGCCAACACAAACACACAGGAACACGACAAAAGAAAACAATAAAAAGGAAGCAAAGCAGTTAAGAGTTAGCTGGGCAAGGACAAGGAGCAGCCCTCTCTCTGCCCTTGAGGAGTTCTGGGAAGGGAGGGGGTGAGACAGGGCTGGCATGGAAGCCACCTCTGGACATGGCCAGAGTGGTGTGGGATACAGTTGGGGCCCCAACTCCAGCTCCCTAAGTTGGCCTGGACCTGGGAGAGGCAGGCACCACTGAAGCCATCTACTGAGACCTCCTAATGCTGTTTCTGAGTTTTCTGGAAAAATCTCCTATTCTGGATGGGTCATTTACTGTGTGTTGGACCCCTTTGGAGCAGAGGAGGGGGGAAAGAGAAAAGCCTTCCCCTTTTCTACCCTGGCCCCCTGGTGCTACGTAGGGAGAGGGCTAGGCAACAGGACTGGGGATAAGGATTCTGTCTGTTGGGTACACAGTTTCTCCCCAACAACCCCCCCCCCCATCCCACCCCAGTGGAGCACCTACATCAAGCTCTCCAGGTCAAAGCAAAAATTCTCCCAACAAATTCCCAAAAGGGACATCGCAGAAAGAGGAGAGAAAATATGGGGGAGCCATAACATGGTAAATCTTTTCTTCCTCACCGTCCTACTTGTCTCTTTCCCCAAAAGTGGCATGCGAGGCAAGGAGAAAGGTGGAGCCACCTTGGGGGAGGTCTGGAGACCATGTCTGTTGTGCCCTCTGCATGCCGGAGAGCAAAGCCACCCTGAGATCAAGAGGGTTGGGCCATGCGTGCTCCGGATCTTGTCTCTGCACCTCTGCCCTGAGTTCCAAAAGAGAAGGGGTAACTGGAGCCACACCTAGGGGGCTAGAGTCCCGGCTGTGAGGGGACAGTATCCGGAGGCCGCTCAGAACCAGAGGGGCCAGTGTCGGGCACAGAGCATCCCAGTGTCCCTGGCCCCAGGAGGAGGCAGATGGGGAGGGCCTGAGGGGGTGCCGAGTGGAAGGCAGGACATACCATCTTATCGTGGACCGTGGGGGATGGTGGGTAGTTGTAGGGGAACAGTCCTGCAGGGACTGGCCGCCTGTCTCCCAGGTAATCATACTGGAAGAGAAAGGGGATGGAGAGGTGAGAGGGTCCGGCTTGGACACGGACTTCCCCACCAACTGAAGTTCAAGGTTAGGGATGTCTGTATCCAGTCCCAGAGCACATCCAAACTGCAATGGACCGCATTTCTCCATTGCAATATTCTTGCAATCATCTTGCCAGGTCCTCAAGATTTGAAAAGACACAACCCTCTCTGCCCTCATCTGCAGAATTAGGATGACTGGCGTAACTTGGGGATAAGGACAGAGAGCAAAGTTCCTATTCAGGGCAGGGCAAACCCCAGACAGCTGCTCTGTGGAAGAGCTGCAGGCCCAGTGGCTCCCAGGGCAGCACTGCTGGGCTTGCTGCACCTCCATCTCTTCTCAGCAGGTGGTCGTAGGTTTGGGGGACCTCAGGGGCAGGGCAGAGGAGCAGGTTGGTGGCTCACCTTGGGGGAGCTGATGGATCGCCTCATCACGTAGGCAGCAGGGTCTGCGTAGATGTCCTCGCTGCGGGGCGGCAGCCGCTCAAAACGGGCACTGGGCGAGCGGACAGGGGAGTAAATGCGAGCACGGCTGCAGGAGCCCTGGCTGGGCGAGCGGGGCACAGAGTGGGACCGGGGCTGCAGGGACAGGCGGCGCAGGGAGCTGGAGGCGGCATCCAGCTCGTCATAGTACACAGGCTGCCGGGAGGGGCTGGGCACCCAGACGGTGCCGTCCTGCCGCCCGTAGCCGCCAGGCTCCTTCCACTCCCGCAGCTGGTAGGCAGGGCCACCCCCGTTCCGGAAGGAGAGGCGCTTGTCCTCCAGGGCCCAGGGTGGACTGATCCGGTCGTAGGCTGGCATGGAGCAGATGCTATCCGGCCGCACCCCTGGGGGGTAGTACTGGTAATCGTCGGGGTACTGGGAGGAGTAGGGGCCATAATATTCAGGGACCCTTCGGGACACAGGGTAGAACCTAGAGGGGCTGAAAGAAGGCACAGTGAGAAAGCCAGACCAAAGGGCATGCCCTGCCCTTCTGTGCCCCGGCCCCCACCACATCCCCCAGGCTGGAACAGGGGTTTCCCTAGGTGAACGGTGACCCGCCAGACCCGAGACTTCTTTCCAGAGGTTCAGGGGAAGACCTGGGCCTCAGGGTTCCCTCCCTCAAGCATCTCCCTGAGGCCGGAAAGGTCCCTGTTCAGAGCTTCAGTCTTTGTCTCTTCAGAATGAAATGCCCCCGGGGAGAAACCTTAAGTCTTATTAGCCATCTCTAGATCAGCGCAAACCAATTTATCAAATTCCATCCAGAGAGGCAAAGGGGAGAATGGAAGGTGGTGTACTGGGCACCAAAGGAGGGCAATTGTTGGGGGCCGGGGCCGCCTCTCTGACTTGCTGATCTCCTGCATCCCAAGGACTCCTCCCAAGTGCTCCAGGGGCCAGGAGGGAGCAGCCCTCTCCTCCCCACCTGCCCAGACTCTGGGGGGCATAGAATGGCAGCCCCAAGTCCCTGAAGGAAGTTACCAGGCTAAACAATGTCTTCAAATATCTGAAAGCCAATCACTAGACCAAAGCCAATCACTGAAAGCCGAGTTGGTTCAAAGGCCCACGAGGATCAAGAAGTAACCTTTTCTCTGCCTCTTTTCTTTTTTAAAGAGCAGTTCAGAAATGGAGTGAGTGGACTTGGTGTTGAGTGTCACGTTGGGAGAAGCACTGGGGCAGAGGGTGGTAGAAGAGGGTGGGGGCTCACTTCAAGGCCCCTCCCTCCCTGCTCCAGCCTGCCTGTTTCCTGGGCTACCCCCACCTGTGGCCAGGCCCTGGGTGCTTTCTGTCCCTTCATCTGAAGGATGTGGACAGCAAGAATCAGGTGCAGGGAGGGGGTGGCCAGCTACAGATATAGCCACTGGGCAGGCAAAGATCTGGGCAAGCTGGACTTGCTGGGTTTGACATGATTTCCCAACTCAGTCTGCATCCGAGAGGTTTCTAATAGGTCTTGATACTACCCCAGTCCCAGCCTTAGCCCCCTACCAGGCCTCACCTGCGAAGGTCATCGGGTGGGGGCACCCCCCGGCGCAGGTTTACCCACTGCTGCAGCTGGTTCATGGAACTCTTGCGCTGGGCGATTTTGTCAGGGTTGGTACGTGGCGGGAAGCTCTGTCGGTGTCCCCCATTCTCCCCATCCTGAGGTGGGAAGGCTGTGCTCCCAGGCCGGCTTGGGGAGCTATACTGCCAACCGTTGGGCTGGACAGGCCGCTCCCCACCCCCTGGAAGCCTTGGGCCCTCGGGGTAAGGGCTGCCCGGCTCTGAGACGGCTTCTGGGCCAGTTTGAATGCCGTTCGCTTTCACCAGAGGCTCAGTCTTGACTTCCGGCCTCTCCAGCCTCCTCTCTGCCTTCTCACAGCCTCGGCCATCGCCCTCCCCTCGAGTCTTGGCCTCGGGTTCAGACTTGGCGAGGCTGTTGTGGGGTGTCTGATGGTGGAGTTTGCTGGGCGGGATGTTCTCTGAGTCTGGCTTCTCGTGGCTGCAGAGTGTCAGGGGAGACTTGGTAAGTGACCACAGCACAGCACGGGGCAGGGGGTGGCAGGCTGGGAAAGGGAAGGGGCTGGGGAAGGGTGGACAGGAAGCTGGGGCTGGAAACAGGACTCAGCGAATGACAGTTCTGTTCGCTAAATCTCACTGTTTTGGCCCCTTTCTCCTGCCCGGGCAGTTACTGTAACACGCACTCTCACCTGCCTGAGCTCACTCTGCCCCCCACATCTTCTCTGCGTGTCACTTTCTACTCCCTGTGATGACCCGCGAGGAGCCCAGTCTTCCAGCCAGAGCCAAGACCAACCTCACCCAGTCTCAGTCTCCTCTGTAGTCTGTCCCTGTCCTGGCACCTAAACTTGATGGGCACCAGATCCAAGTTTCACAACAGCAAAGGTTCCCGAGGCCTCTGCCTTTGAGACCCGGCAAGGCGCACTAGTTCCTGTCAAGTTACTTAGCTCCCACACTCGGCCTCATGGGCAGGATGGGCTTAACCTCACCTCCTGCCACAGGACTTGGGGGAGCTGAGACACGACAGCCACCTCAGCCTCGTCCTTCTCTCCAAAAACAAGCTTCTTCCAGGTTCTTCAAGCTCCTTTCCATTAGGGTGTAAGCTCCGCGAGGCGGGAGCACCAGACCAGCCCCTTCTTTGTTCCCCTAGCACCTGACACATGCCTTAAGCATTTGTCCTCTGAGTAAATGTTTACGACATGAATGAAAGAACTTCTGGAATATGCCCCTTGTTTGGAACAAAGATGGGTCCGATGGCAATGTTATCCCTACAACCTCCCTGGTTTGACCCATTCAAGCATCCTGCTGAGACCTCAGCACTCCTGAGACGTGGACAGATTTGCAGTCTGTGCTGTCAAACCTTCCTCTTCTGGTTCCTTGTTAATATCTAACTCAAGACTCACCCCAGTTCTAGGAGAGGTAGGTGCTGAGTCTTCTAATGATGGGGTGTTGGGGTGTGGGCAGCCATAACTATAATTGCTGTCTTTAAGAGCAAACTTGGGTTTGGAGAGGTTAAGAAACTTACACTGAGGTCACACTGTGGGCTACTAGCTGAGCAGGGATTTGAACCCAAGTCCACATTTTCCCGAAGGCTGTGTGCTTAATGACCATGGCCAGGAAAAATGAGCAAATGACCCAATGGGTCCAAGCCTCTTTCTTGGCTTCCGCCAGCAGAGAGAAGAGGCAGTACCAGTGAGGGCAAGTAAGGAAGACAGGTTGTGGCGTCACTCGGGGGCACCAGGCTCCCCAGGAGTTCGAGGCAGCCGCTGGGGTCAGCCGCAGCATGAAATTGGGCGCTTTCTCCCCGCCAATACCCATGCCCAGCACTCACTTGTGACGCACAGCTTGAGGCACTGACTTCTGGGCCGGGGGGATCTGGACTCGGGCAGCCTCCCCCATGGCCTGGATCCAGGCCTCCTGCTCCTCAGGGCTCTCGGCGCTAAAGAAGTAGGTGCGGACCCCGGCATGCTCAGCCTGTGGGGAGAGGCAGTACGTGGAACTTGCCCGAGTCTCGTCCACCCTGCACACAGTCACCTGTGGAGAGAGGACACCCACAGAGGGGGTCAGGTAGGTCGCTCCCCTGCACTGCACATGTCTCGTGTTGCTCAGGGCAAGGTGAGGAGGGGAGCCCGCAGCCACCCCAAGTGCTCCAGCCAGCATCCAGGTACCAGCCTTGGCCAGCTCTCCAGACACCACAAACAGGCCAATACCCTCCCTGAGGCGACCATGAGCAGGAGGGAAAATTACCGCTCCTGCTCTCAGCAAATTCTGTCTCTGACTTGAAGGGCGATTACCCAGTGTCTGGTAAATGCAGCACCCCCCAGCTCCCCAAGGACATGCCAGCCTGGCCGCTGAGAAGCTACCACGGCCTCGTCTGTGTGCAGCCAGCAGCGGGCCTCCACTGGAGGGCATGCAAGGGGCATGCAGGGCAGACAGAGAACACTACCTAGTAGGCGGCCGCGAGCAAGCGCGGCAGGCGGGAACCCCGAAGAGAGCTCCTGTCCAGAGGAGGGGTCCTCACGCGGTCAGGAGGAGGAGAAGCAGAGAACAGGTCACCCAAACACCAGAGGAGAGACAGAAGATGACATGGCACAAACAATGAAGAGCAGGGCAGGGGGCTGTGCTCTGGGCGGGATCACAGCTCCCAGCAATGCCCAGCTCAGCCCACCGGGAGGGGCGGAGCGCCCAAGGGGCCAGGGATGGTATGGAAGCAGCCAGGGCATCTGAGCATCCCGCTTGTCCCTGCAGCTGCCCTGATTGCTGCTCTGCTCTGGCCTCAACAGACGCCTGTTTAATAGGAGACTCCGTTGGTGACACTTGAGGTCTTAGGCCACAGGAACAAATGCCCCAGAGCTATATTCTTTCTGGGGCTTCAGCATACTCTCCCACCACCACCTGCCCCTCCCTCTAGTCTCTCAATTTCCCAGAAAAAAAACAGGAAGCACAGTTTATCCCACCCCACAGAGATCCAAAAGCAATTAAGCATCAGCTGTAAACATCACTTAAGCCTGATTCCTTGGGCGCAAAATCTGGGGTCGGGGGTTGGTGAGCAGGGGGGCTGGGAGAAGGCAGGGCTGTGCTGACCAGGCCTGTTCTAAGCAGCAAGGTCAAATTCACCCTCTCTGAGTGCTTGCCCCTCCGACCTTCACCAAGCTCGCTCCTCTGCAGTGCCCGCCCCCCCCCAGCACGTGATTCCTCTCTGACAGGAGCCACGGCCCAGTGAAGGTGTGTCCTGTGTCTCTGGGGGCAGGGATAGCCTCTTCCCTCTGAACCAGCCTGGTCTGTCCCCGCCTGCCAGCAGGGGCTCAGCCCGTGGGCAGAAACAGGGTGCTGGTGACCCGACAGTGGTCAGGAGGCATCATGGGCTGACAGTGCACGGGGTATGCAGATGGGCCCGTCAGCCTGCGGGGTGGAGAACCCAGGGGTACTGTGGAGGAGACAGACCCCAGAGGGACACTGGGCACATCCGAGCCCCCAGGTGTAGGCAGAGAACGAATCCATGGGCTTGCTAAGCACGGGGAGAGCTCGCGTGCGTGCAGAGCTCTGCTCCCGGCACCAGGCAGGAGGAAAAGCACGGACGTGCTCTTCGTGCTCAGAGCCATGGATGAAACACGCCCCTGGGAATGGAGGGGCAGCTGAGGCGCAGAAACAACTGCTTGTGACAGAGAGGCTGGGGGCCTGGGAAGAGACAGGGCGATTGATGGGGAACCTCGAGGGGATGCAGACTGGAACAGTGAAAGGGAGCCAGAGGACTGAGGGAGGTGCCCGCATGAAGGAGCCCACTGAACCCCCTGCTGGCTCAGGACCAGGACACGCTTTCAGCCACCGCTTGGGCAGGAGCGGTTCTGGGCTCATTATCAGCCATCGCAGTTGTGCTTGGAGACCCCCGCAGGACAAGCCCCCCATCTGTCTCAGTTTCCCTCTTTTCCCTAAGTAGCTGCAATTAGACCCCTTTGTGGGCCACTGAGCACAGTCCTCAGAGTTGGATTTTAAAGAGGCAGAGCACTCCCGGGGGGGAGGGAAGGGAGGGGGCTGATGAGCACAGAGCGGAAGCCTGGGGTGCCCAGCCGGGGTTGGGGTGGGTAGTGTCAGTCATCTGCTGACGATGGCTGCTGCCAGCACAGCTCTGAGCTGGACTAAGTGAGCACAGGTCTGATGGGGGGGGTGGGGTGAGCCAGGCTGTTGGACGTGGGCGTGCGTGTGCGTCTGTGTACAGCAGGGCTGTTTGTTGTTGGTAAAACAGCCTGTTCCTATTTCCCTTGCTAGAACCTGGCTCCCTGGAGCCAGAGTTTTATTAATTGTTCATTCTGTTCACACCTCTGGCACACAGGACCCTGGGAGGCTGGAAACTAATTATGTGCCAAAGAAGTCCCTCCTTGTTCCGGGACGCAGCACCGGTGTGCGGCCAGGTGACCAGCATCTGAAGGACAGAAAGGGGCAGAGGCTCTGAGGCTCTGTGAGCTCAGCCCCTGACCTGGCGTCACCTGCAGACCCGATTATCTAACACCAGAGCTTTGGGTTCTTGGGGTCCTGGACAGCAGTTCTCAACCTGGGGGAGTGAGGGCTTTTGCACAAAGAAAATGCAAGCCTGGTAGAATTTTGTGTTTGGAAAATGAAAAGGTCTTTGCATAATAAAATACGAAAAGGGCAAAGAATTTTGATCATTTTTAATGGGTCATGAATTTTTAAATGTGGAAAAACACTGGCCTAGGATGAGCCAGCTGCAGGCACGTCTTTGCTGGGTGGGCCCCCAGGGGCTCCCAGTGAGCCCAGCCTCCTGCACGCCTGTTGCCCAGATTGCTGTTACATGGGTCTCACACCGCTCGATGTAATGCAACTGAATCCTAATGGTTTTCAAGGGTTGAAGTTTGTGTATGTTTGACTGGTGGTCTGGTTCCTTGGGCCATGTTGGGGAGAAGGTCTTTCTAGAAGGGTTCTCAGAACCCTACCAGCCCACAGCTCCTGCCTCTACTGGGAGGGATTTTCTGGGGTGAGGCCACCAGGCAGAAGATCAAAAGGTTCAGGACAGAACTACTTCTCCCCAGGAGAACCTGTGGCACCTCTGAATCCCATCCCTACTGGCCCCCTCTGGGGAGAACTACCCGTTGACCCCCCCAAGGAAAGAGAAGGGTCCTGGCACAGCCCCATCTCAGGCTTCTGGTAATGCATACTGTCCGGAGCCACCCCACTCTCTCCACCACCACCACCAGGGAGTCTAAGGGAGGTAGCTTCTGAAACTTCTCCATCCCCGTGTGCTCTGTGAGAGCCAGCCGCCCCTGCCCCCCACCCCGACCTGGGAGAGAAAGGCCAACTGACCTTAAAGGTGTGTTTCCGGCTGATGTTGTCTGAGGGCTGCACTGCGGCCACCCGGAAGCTCAGGAGCGGGATGCTGCCCAGGATGCTCTCCTCCTTCTCATCTGCCAGGGAGATAGGTACCCGTGAGAGGTGCATGAGTGCACAGGTGCGTGCACGTTCAGGGGGGAGGTGAGCGGAGACATCAGCGCTATTACCATACATATCAATAACCACTTGCGGCTTAGCTCAAGACCACAACGCACAATGCCAAGAGGCACACCCCAGCACTGGGAGTCAGGGAGTCAGCACACAGGGGTCTAGACACCAGAACGACAGAGGAAGCACGAGGGGGAAGCAGCACCCACCCGCAATAGCCTCCGCTCTGGCAGACACGCAAACCAGCACTAAACAGCTGATGTTCTCAAGGGTTCGCTCTGCCAGGGAAGGTTCCAAGTAAGATTCCAGAATGGAGTCAACCTTCCAAAATCCTATGTATAGGTGCTGTTATCACCCCTGTTTTATAGGTCAGGAGGTGGAGGTGCAGAGAAGTTAGAGCATTTCTCCAAGATTACTGAAATAATGAGGGGTGGAACAGGTCTCTGAACCTCTGAAGTCTGACTCGCAAGCTGCATTGGGGACCACTCTCCACCTGGGCAGCCAATTCCACAGTGAGGCACCTCATAGGACACCAGTGGGGAGGCTTGGTGGAATAGACAGTCCGATCTTTGGCTCTGGCTCCTCTGGGGAACTGTCCCTAAGGTTCTTCCAGGCACCCAGCAGCTTGCCCTTATACGTGACGCCCAGAAAGACACGCCCCAGGCCCTCTGGTTCCTGGATCAGGCTAATAATCAGGTTGCTACATAATTCATCCTGGATCTCCAAAGGAGCCTGGTGGATTAGGCGGTCAGGTCCCCAGCTGTCAGCAGGAGGCGGGAAAGGGTAGGGTGCAATGTGGGACCAGTGGGGAGCAAGTATAAGACCATGGCAAGATGGCCCCTACTTCCTTCCCCAGGCTGGGGACTGTGTGAAACCTCAGTGGGGTTTGGAAGCAATCTCTCAGGGGTCATAAACCCCATGGGCTCCCCTGCCTCCTCTCACTTGCCACCTGAGTAAGAGACTTGGCCCGAGGTCCAGCTTCCGGGCAGACTGTAGTGTGGTACCCAGAAGGAAGCCAAAGGGGCAGGAGGGACAGGGCTGGGACCCAGGCTGTTTTCAGGAGTTCGGAGCTGCTCTCTTCTAGAGGAGACAGCCCGCGTTTAGGGGGCATCCTGAGACCATTTATCGATGGATAGTGAGCCCCCGTGCAGTAGCTGAATTCAGTGTTTTTTGTTTTTTTTTTTAAAGATTTATTTATTTATACAAGCACTGGGTACAATCAGAAGCGAGGGAGGGTGAGAGAATTCACCAGAGCCAGTGCGGAGAGCAGAGCAGGCAGACTGACGAAGTACACTGCTGAGGGGAGCAGCGGGCAGCAGGAAAGGTCTGCACGCCATGTGGGACCCTCGCCGGCAGCCGGGGATCGAACCGGCGCTGCAGAGGCTGCGGGCAGCTTCACAGCCCAGCGCTCAACCGCTGCGACACCAGGGAGGCCCCTGAATTCAGAGTGTTTTAAGGTCCTCCCCATGCTAGTCCCAGAGTCTCTCTCCTCTCTGCAGAAATCCTGGCCCCTTCCAGCTTCTTTTACCTTTGGCCCCAGTACAGCAGCTGGGGCACATCTGCTCCCCCGTCTTGAGCCTGTACAGACAGCCTGTATATACACCCCCATCCTGACTTCTTTCCTCAGAGTTCAGGGCACAAACACACCAGCATGGTGGGGGGTGTCACTGGGTACAACCTTTGTTTGCCAAAGTTAATGATTCACTGAGTTGCTCCCAGGAGACTGGAGGAGTCAGTGCTCAGCCGTTCCCTGGGCTCCCAAGAGCAGCAGCGGCTTCTCCCCCTGAAAGGCCAGCTGCCCTCTCTCTTCTCAGGCCCGGGCCTTGCCTGGCATTGCATCAGGGTGACGGCACTATCACCAGCCCTCGCTAGCTCCTTCCACGCTTCCCTTGATAAAAGGTAATGGGACTATTTTAAAAATAACTCCCTAGAAGAACAGTACCCAAGGGCCAGATCTTTGCCCTCCCCAACCTTTTTTTTTTTTTTGTTTTTTAAGCAGGTAGAAGCCAGGCCAGGGATGCTCATCTATTCAATATTGATTGAGCACCTACTATGTGCCAATGACTGATCAGGTGCTGTGGATATAACAGTAAACAAAACTGACAAAAAACTCCTGCAACGAACAAGCTGCAATTAGTAGGTGATCTGTTAGCAGTGACAGGGACCTTCCTCTCTGTCCAACTTTTCCTCCCACCCCCACCCCTGCCAACCCCCCAGACTGCACGATCTGTCACAAGACTGTCATGTTCACCCACCGTATCACCCATCAGGGCCTGGAACTGTCTGGAAATATCGCTGAATACGAAGGGAATGAGCAATGAGTGAATGTGTGAGCCTGTGAGCTTTGTCCTTCTCTGTCACGCCCCACTGGAGCCAGGACTATGGTGGGGACATCTGTCCCCTCCCCCCCACAATCGATGCCCATCCAGCCAGAGCCCAGGGAACTGGCAGAACTAGACGTGGTAGGGGCCGAGGCTGCCAGGCACAGCTCACCTTTGTAATAGAAGAGGCAGCGATCCACAAGGACAAACCAGCGCTTGTTCCACTGCTTGACCCCAGAGCTAGCCTGAGAGGAGGGAGGGAGAGAAGAGGGCGTGAGCTGGGGGCAGGAGGAGGCTGGCAGAGCGGAGAGTTCTGGGCTGGCTATGCGGACTTGGGACATAGCTGCTCTGGAGGTGGTTCTGTGCTAAGGAGCCCAGACCTCAGGTGTGGCTTTCCCTTCCTGCACCCCTCCCCACCCTGGGTGTAGATAAAAGGGGCAAGAGATGAGCCAGAATGAGCGAGCAGAGGCCAGGCAGGGATGGGGCAAGTTCAGTCTGGGGAGAATTGCTGAGAAGTCCAGACTTCAAGGAGACACCCCTACCTGCATAGCAAGAGGGACCCTGCTAAGAATGAGCCAGTGGGTTGTCCTGTGGGGCTGGTGACCATGGTGCTTACCCTTCAGGGGACCTCACTGGCTTCCCAACTTTGACACTAATATTTCTATGTGACTTTTGGGAAGGTACCAAACTTCTCTGAGCCTTTATAAAATAGGAGATTCATTCAGAGACAAGCTACAATAGGACATGGGCAGGGGGATGCCCAGGGGTGTGGGAGGGATGCCAAGGTATGGGGGTGCCAAGGTTTGGGGGTTCTAAGGTATGGGAGGTGCCAAGATATGGAGGAGCCAAGGTATGCATGGACTATGATATCCACAGCGGTGCCCCAGAGTTATGAGGAGAAAGTGTAGGTTACAGCAAGCAGAAGGGCCATGGGGACTCACCTGCTTGAAAAGCCAACCCGCCTTGGTGACAGGCGCATTGGGGTTCCTCTTCATGGAGTGTGAGCGTTTGCCAAAGGCGATGGCCTTCCGGGATGTTCGGGTTGCCTAGGAGGGTGGGCACAGTGAGAGAAGCTGCCTGACCCTTCCTGCCCTACCCGTGAGGAGAGCTCCCCTCATAGAGCTGTCTCTCTCCAAACTTACCCCGGGGGACCCCCACACTGAGGTCCAGGAGAGAATCTTGGATCTGTTATTAACTCCAGGGCACAGCCCTTCAATTCTGAACCTTTTTTTCTTATCTCTTCCCTCTTTCTCCTCTGGGACAGGCTTCCCTCCTCCTGTGTACTCCTAGCGCTCTTCCACATCTGCGCTGAGTTGCAATGCCACTGAATTAAGAACACTCGACCCTAGTCATTCTTTTTTTAAAAAAATTATTTATTTATGCATAAAAGAACTGGGGTACATACAGGCCAGAGATGTGGGGGGTGAGAGGATTCACCAGACACAGAGTGGGGAGCAGAACAGGCAGATGTACTGAAATACACTGCTGAGGGGAGCAGCGGGCAAGACAGGAGAGGTCTGCTGCACCATGTGGGTCAGCTCCCTGGCGGGGATCAAACTCATGCTGCAGTGGCAGCAGATAGCTTTATAGTGCTGAGGCTTAATCCCTTGTATCACCAGGAAGGCCCCAGTCCTAGTCATTCTAAAGAATTGGGCAATATTAATCCTCTGTCCCCCTGAAACTCTTCTTTTGGTTTCTCTGGCTCTCTCTACCTGTGGCCACTGATTTTCAGTCTCCACCTCAGCTCTGAGTGGTGGACCTTAAACAAACTTTGGTTCCTCTGTTCTTGCTTTTACGTTGTGCCTGTGCGAACTCACATGCACTGTTGCCTCAACTACAAGTCCCTGAAAATTCCCTAACATGTCTCCAAGACCTCTCCTCACTCTGGTCCGCTTTGTATAACCAGGATTAAATAAATGCAAAACCAAGTTCATCTTCTTTCTAGTCAAGCCCGTTCTGTGTCTGTAGTCTCAATGAGAGGAACTCAATCCACCCAGTAGCCAAACCAGAACCCCGAGTCGCCTCATACTGCCCCCCACCTATACCACCGAGATGCAGTGTCATGAGTCAGTGCAGCAGTTCTCACGTCTGTGCTTCCTCTCAGATTCCTGTTGGTCATCCCGTACTGCTCTCACCCTGACAATTTTTCTAAAAGCCAGTATCATCACTCTCTTGCTTAAAATTTTTCATGACTGCTCATCACTTAGAAGAGAACTCAGCTTCTTCAGACAGCACTCAAGGATGGGTCTGTGAGATCCAGGGGGCCACAGCCCACCTTCTGCCTCTGGTCATGCTAAGGTCCTAGAGGTTCTCCTTATCCCATGCCTTTGCTCACCTTGCTCTCCACAGGGGTGAGAGTGTCCACTGCCCAATCCCAATTCACCCTTTAGAGTCTGCTGCTATCCCCCACCCTACTCCACAGAGCCCCCCGTCCCCCCTCTCTGCCTTGTCACCCATATGGCACTGCTGCTCTTCACTCTCCTCCACCAACTCGAGCTCTTTGTAGGGAGGAAGCTTTGTTCTGTTCACCTCTTCACCACCAGAGTCTCAAAAGGGGTTCAGCACTTAGTAAATACTCAAAGAAGGGAGCAAAGAAGAATGGATTTTATTATAAAGTGCGCCCAAAACTGGGAAATGAAATTACTTTCTGAACTTCCCTATTAAAAGCCCACAGATAGGGGCCTCCCTGGTGGCGCAAGGGGTTAAGCATCAGCACTATGAAGCTACCTGCAGCCACTGCAGCACAAGTTCGATCCCCAGCCAGGGAGCTGACCCACATGGCGCAGCAGACCTCGCCTGTCTCCCCGCTGCTCCCCTTAGCAGTGTATTTCAGTGAATGTGCCTGTTCTGATCCCCACTCTCTCTGGTGAATCCTCTCACCCCCCATGCCTCTGGTCTGCCCCCCAGCTCTTATATGCATTAATAAATAAATCTTAAAAAAAAAATAAAAGCCCACAGATAGTGGCTGAGATTAGCCATGTGGAGAAGTTACCCACCACCCCAAAACATGCAGGTCCCGGGACCCTTCTCTTTTTCCTCTCAGCTTGTCATCTTTCATAATTTCGCCCCCTCTCTCCATAGCCTGGAAGTCACTTGCCCTGGTCCCCCACTTTGGCCATTCTCCTGCTGACCCTTCCATATCTTATCCACCCCTCCTTCCCACCACAGCTCCCAAACATTCCTCGGCCTGAGGTCAAGCCGGCTACCTGCTGGGCCTGCTCTGCTGCAGGAAACGGCACGCAGCTGGGCCTGAGCCCCACAGATCCAGCCTTTGACCTCATTGGACAATATTTCCTAAGTCTTTTGCTGACCACTATTTCTGTTTTCCAAACCTTGGGCATAATCTTAAGCCCCCCAGATCCTTTCTACCCAACCTCCCACTCTCCTGCCAAACTTGAGGACGTGAGGCAGGAATATCTCTGACTTCTGCGCCCTCAGCCTCAAGTCCCTGCAGCTGCTGCCTCAGGAAGAGGGTCCTTCCAGGCTAATAGCGCCCCTGCCCGGCTCCTTTGGATGCCACAGAAGCGTGACTAATTGGCTGTGGCTTTTCCCTGGCTCCAACCCACAGTCATTGCCCTCCGGCCTCCAACATCTTGATTCTAAACAAAGCCAAGGAGCAAGACCTCCCTCCACCTCGCTGTTCTCCAGCTTCCGGCCTCTGCCCCCAACCCACTTCACAGTCAAGTTTCTTTACATTTAAAAAAAAAATATTTTGAACATTTCCAAAAAGTACAGAATAAATAGCCACAATGTGTTGCTTTTTCTCTAATAAAATATGACAAGCAGAGCCAAGGCTCTACCCAATCTCATTACCTTTTCTTCCTCCCTGGAGGCAAACACTGACCCAAAATTAGTCTGCCTGTCCGCGTCAGTGTGCTTGAACTTCAGCTTTATCTAAAAATATGTAGTATCGCCTTCCATGCTTATAAAACACACTTTACATAAGTGATACATTTTTCATATTCTGCAACTTATTTTTTACTCAATTCTGTTTTCAAGATTTAGCTTGTTAATACAGATAGCTCTGGCCTGTCTTGCTTTTTGGAAAGAACTCCATTGCAAGAGTTCTAGACCACTTAGTGTCTACAAGAGTGGCTTCGATTTTTCAGTGTTGCCACATGTCCCCTCTCCTCTCCTCTGAAGGCCTTTGCCCTCAGCAACCCCTGGAGCTGCCCTTGTCAGCACCTCCCATCACCACAGTGCAGCTAAAACCCACTTCGAGACCCTCTTCTGAGAGCTCAGTTAAGCCTTTCATGAGATATTCTTCTTTTGCTGTGTCCATAAATCACTCCCTCTCAATGAGGGTGGGGTAATTTTATCCTCCAAGGGACACATAGCAAAAGCTAGGGACATTTTGGGGGCTGGGTGCTGTTGACACCAAATGGATGGAGGTCAGGGAATTGACCAGCGCCCTGCAGTGACCAGGAAGACCCACACCACAAAGAATCATCCAGCCCCAGATGTGGACAGTGACTAGGCTGCGAACCCACAGTCCAGATGTAGGCCTTCTACAAAGCTCTGGTCTGAGTCTTCCTCCCTGCCTCCTCTCTCCCCCCGGGCTACTCTGCCTGCATGTTGGAGCCTGAAGAGACAGATGGGGAGGCTGATCCATTTCTGAGCACCCCTGTCCCCCAACTCGCCTTGGGGCCTGGACCTACCCGGACATTGGGCCGCTCCGGAGGGACCTCGGACACCATGCTGTGGTTGGCTAGGTCGCTGTTGGCAGTCGCCACCCGCTTCCCACCTGCTTTATTGGACATGTCCAAGGCCGATCTGATTTCAAGTTGACCAAGACAGAAGAAAGAGACTAGTCAGAACCAAGAAGCAAAGGAAACCGCTAGTCCCTTCTCCCCACCCTGCCCCTCCCCCGCTGTTCCCTTAAGTGCCATCAAGAGGTCATCGCCTGTGCTCCCTCCTCTCCATTGAGATTCTATGCCAGTAATCCTGGACATTCTCTTTCTTTCCTGTAGAGTTTTTGAAAACCCACACCCAAGGATTTCAGAACACTTTTCCGTTCCAATTTAAAGACACAATGGCCCAGTGGACTATGGGGGGGGGTGTCACTTAATGGCCTTTTTTTCTTTCATTCAGCAAGATCCACAGTGAGAGAAATTAGCACTTGGCTCTCGTGGTTCTACCAGACTCCCCACTCCCCCCTTAAAGGCCCCTGGGGGTTGCCAGCGGCAGACCTGTCCCTCTCCTTCAGCTGACCTGTGGGCGGCGCCCACCTGAGGGCAGCAAGATGCTGGGGTAAGAGGATAAGGAGTCACGCCAGGGGGTCTCAGAAGCTTCTAGCCCTCAGCGCTTCTGCTTCCAGTCCTCTCTCTTCTGCTCCCCACGCCTCCCTCCCCCTCCCATGTGCAGAGCTTCCCAGGGATGGCACTGCCGGAGGGTGGGGAGGTAGTAAGTAGAGGCTCACGTACGTTTTCAAGTCAAATTTTTTGTTTTCCTCTGGGACCTGTCCTGTCACTGGGTGGAGAAACGTGGTCCGTCTTTCATTGTGGCTGCAGAGGCAAGAGAGGGAGATGTTGTAGCAAAGACAAGGACAGTAGAGACATAGCCAAAGGGTGGACAGACCCTGGGTGGGCACAGGGATGGGTGGGCACAAGGCGGTGTCCCTCTGCCCGTCGTTGGGATCCTCAAGGGGCAGGGAGGCGGACCCTGGTCAGTGTCCACTGCTCACTGGCTCTGAGACGGGAAATAAGGCCCACTTAAGCCTTTCAGGGCCATTCTGGGCATGTCTGAGGGTGAAGTGGGGTGGGGGGCTCCAACAGTCAGGATTTCACGAGCAGCAGGTTCCCCCAGGGACAGCTCTGGCTAGTGCTGCAGGTGAAACTGCTCACTCGCCACTTGTGCGAAGACCAATCTCATGACCTTGGACTCCTTCCTCTCCTGCCCTATGCTCCATCTCTCCCTTTAAAGGAAACAGGAAACCCAGAAATTCCAATCTGGAGCTTGGGCTGGGCGCCACTCCCACTCTAACCCAGATGTCTGGTCTAAGGGCTGAGACGGGGTGCTGACCTGGAGGGCAATGCTGCCATAACAACGGGTTCCATCTCTGGGATGCTGGGGCCTGGGGTGCCACTAGGACCATCTGCCCAGAAGTAGAGGGAAGCCCAGCCAGAGGATAGGGCTACCAAGGCAGATGCAGAGAACTGGGGAGTCCTTTGGGGAATTTCTGCTGTGGCTCCTCTGGCAGACTGAATGTCCAGGCCAGCCCCCGCTGGGTCTCAGGAAGGCAGGAAGCAAGGGCAGACAGAGTGGGGAGAGGGGCTGGCCCACAGAGGCAATCATTTGGGATTGAATCTGCAATCAGGGGCCGCCTGGCAAGAACATTGTTGTAGAGAGACTCAGGTATCCAGGCAGTGGGGGGCAGGAGGAGGAGGTATTTTAGGGTCCTCTTCACTTGTCCCTCTTGAGATACTGCAAGGATGTGCCAGGCTGTGGATCCTGCCCCCAACCCATAAGCCTCCCACAGCCAAGGGCCAGCATTCTGCTGGCAAGTGGCAGGTGGGTGCAGAGATCTTCAGAGGAAAGGAACTGGCCCTTGAGCTGCCTGGAAGCAGAGACCCCTCTCCAGTCGAGAGCTGAGGACTTGAACTGTCTGCTAACGATAACATCAAAGTGCATCTTCAGCTTTCAAACCGGTTGTATTCAGATGGGATCCGAAGACAAGTCATAGGTGAGAAGCCCAGCAGGCGGCGGCTACTGTCTGTGTGAAAAGCTGGGTTCCACAATCTGACTTGCCTATGGGACCTTGAATCAGGCCTGAGTTCTAACTAGAACAGCCAAACCTGCTCCCAGATCTGAAACTCCGTTCCTCTTCCCTCCTCTCAACAAGAAAGCTCTCCTCAACTTAACTGCAGGGCACCTCTGTGAGAGAGGACCCTGCTTACAGTCATCCTTATTCCTGGCTGTGCCCCCATCTAGTGGTCTGGGAGGCAGGGGTGTTGATCACAACTGAGGTCCTTGAGGTGCCAAGGTCTCTGCTTCTCAGGGGAGCAGAGCACCTGCTATCCTGTCTTCCCCATAGCTCTCCGTGTCCTTGTGCTAACTGCTGAAACTCCCTGAGAGCAGTGGTACAGACAGACGGACAGACAGACAGACAGGTGTGCCTGAGTGTGCGTGCGCGCGCACTCACACGCGCGAACGGCCTGCTATCAGCTGGCAGTCTTTCAGGGTATGCCGGATTCCTCCCTGTCCCAGACTCTCCCTACCCAGCAACCTCTACAAATGACGTCCTCTCTCCATCCCGGCGCTACCAATTTCAAAATAGCTTCCCCTTTGCAAGCACTGCAATGCAGCAGCCATTGACCTAACTACTCTCCCTGCTCCAGGTGGTGTCTGGGGCCCTGGATCCCATGAGATGCCAACTCAGCCTGCTCTTGCTTAACTTGGCTCCCAGTTCATCGAAGAAATCCCTACCTGACCCGCCGATCAGCCCGAAACTTCAGCATCTTTTTGGCAGCTCAGTCCCCCGTTCAGCAGCCTCAGAAGACCGGCTGGCCACCCTGCTCCTATCATCCCTCTGGGAGGTAAGTCCTCGCGGGTCTGGCTCAGAGCTTGGCCCTGAGCAGCAGAGCAGGCTGCTGCTTCCCCTCCTCCCAGCTAGGCACCAGATGAGGGGGAGGGGCTCCCCCCAGTTAGCAAGGGGTGTCTGGGTGCCCTGGGGGGCCGAGGCTTCCTATCATTGAGCCAGTGCTGCCTGCCAGAGTGCTGGAGGCAGAGCAAGCCGCAGGAGATGCTAGCCTCCGGTTCAGGTCCCCACGGAGAAAACACTGAGATGGAGAGACAGGCACACGCAGAGCAGGTGTACGACTTCCAGGTCGTCTGACCTCACTGAGCTAAGGACACAGAGGCGCGGGGCGGGCGGAGGAGTTCGGAGCTGCGTTCCCATCTGCGCGGCAGACTCATCCAGTCTGCAGGAAGGCGTCCTCCTGCCTCCCTGCCCGGGCACCGCCTGTGTGGAAATCACTTGCCGCGTCTGAGACCCTTGCAATCCTCAGGGCACAGGATCAAATGAAGCTCCAGATTCACGCGCTGCTGCTGCCGCCACTGTCAGTATGCCGAGACTGATTAAGTCTCCCCTCCGCTCCCAGCCTGGCGGCCCGCCGTGCAAACAGAAGCATAATAAATGGATCGTCTCGGCAACGTCTCCCAACACGCTCCTGCTGGGCACCGCCCCAGGTGCTCGCCTCCACCTGGCCTGGCCCAGAGGGGGACGAGCAAATAGGGCACAAAGGTGTGGGTGCTGTGGATCCAGAGCTGGTGGCAAGGACCCGGCTTCTTTCGCTTGAAGGGAAGCTTCCTCCAAAGTTTGTGAAGACGAGGGCAGCAAATGGGGCTCAGAGGGGGTCACCGTGTGTTTATTTCTGAAAATCTTCCCAGATGTGATATGATAAATTCCAGCTGGTGACTGTCAGATGTGCTCAGGGCAAGGAGATTTGCATGGTCGTTAATTTCCTGAACTCTCCAGAGGCCGAAGATGGTCAGATCTCCCCTTTTCCCGGTGTCCTCCGTCAGGGTCCGTGGACTGCAAGGGCCTTCTGAAAGTCAGCTCTGCCATCCCCTACTCCCAGGCAAGTGCCTTGCGCCGGTCCTACGGAGTGCATTGGGTGTCTAGGAAGGCTCATCGGAGAGGCTCCGGGCTCTCTTAATATCAAATGTCAGTTCCTCTGACTTTCAATAATACTCCATTTTAGTCTTCGGATGACACATTCCCTTCTGACCAGTATAGTTCTTTTTACCAGCAATGGGCATTCTGTTGACATCACAGGCTGCTGTTATGGCAATTCTGTGATGTCACAACGGACACTGAAAGGGAGGTGCTAATCTAATATTTTGAATTGAAGACAGAACTATTCAGGGAGCGATGCAGTCAATGAGTGGAAAAACAAACGACCATTATTGAACCCGTGATGAGACAAGCTGGTCAGAGAGAACAGGGGACAACAGCTGCTGACACATAAGCAATGAGCCCTATAATCAAATATCAGCATCCTCAGCCCTTTAGTGGTACTTCTGCAGAGGCCTGATCCTGATGCCAAGAGCTAAGACTCCAGGTAGCACCCTCCCCCGACCCCTAGGCCAGCGACTTGGGCCCCGCCACGGTTCCAAAGAGCTGGATCCTGTCTCCTGATGTCTGCTTGAGGTCCCTGCCTGCGCACAGTAGGTGCTCAATAAATATTTGTTGGATGGGTGAACAAGAAGTCTCCATGCTGACTGCATTTTTAATCACCTACAGTTGGAATTTGACATTCTATTACCAAGGGCTTCCCTATCTTTGCTGGCTCTTAAAATTAATTACTTCCTCTCCATCAGAGAAGCTCTATTTCTGCCCCCTCATCCCCTCACTCAGCTTCTCTCTCTGGCTCCCCTTTGGATAGATTGCTTGGCTTTGCTCCATCTTCATTAGGAGGGGAAGAAAATTAAGCTCATCTGCACCAGAGGAGAGGGTGGAGGTGCACTGGGAAATGAGTTTTCTTCCTCTAAAGGCAAAAATATCCCCTTTCTCGTCAAGCTGAGCTCAGGGGCCTCCCACAGCCTTTGCTGAGGTTGCAAGTTAAATTACTTCTCCTGTGCCCAGTGCGGACAGCACAGGAGCAGGCTGCAGGGCTTCCCTTGCTTGTCAAGAGCTCTGAAATTACAGAGTTGGCATGCAGGCTGTCTTGCCGGGCGCTTTCCTTCGCCACACACTGCACAGAAGGACAGGTTTGCTTTAAGTTAGACATTGGGGAGAACTAACCAGGTACAGATCATTGCAAAAGGGAAACAAGGATAGGTAAGCAGGCCACCTCTCAAGAATGAATGCATCTCGAAATGGGCCTCGGATTCCACCCAAAGAAAGGGAATCTTGAGCAGCTCAGGAGATGAAAGCAGAAGCATCCCTAACTCCCAGGTTGCCCGTCTGGTGGTCACCTTATCCGCTGTACCTACAAAGGTGGCCCCGGTGGCAGAGCCAGCAGCACATAGACACGTGGCAGGACCCGGCTTGCAGTCCACGGTCCAACACCAACTAGCAGCTGACTTCGATGGTCCCTGGTTTCCCCATGCGCCATCTCCCTTCTCATTTCAGGAAAGAGTAAATGTAAACTTTCAACATGTGAAATGTTTTATGCCTAAGAGAAGATGGGTATGACCATTTTGCTTAAAAACAAATCAAGAAATAAATATACCAGCTTCCAGAGAGAGAAGGTGGAAAACTGCCTTGGACTTGAGAAGGCTGCAGGGCGTGGCCAGGAGCTCTCACTGGCCCAGACCCTGAGTTCGAAGCACAGCCTCGCCCCTGAGAGAGCTCAGCCCTGCTCCCCAGAAACTGCCTCTGGCTCTACAGTGGAAAGAAGTAACATCAAGCAGGTCTTCACCGCCCTTTGCAGCCAGCTTGTTTGCGTAGGTGCACATGCACACACGCACACCCAAGCTGGACTCCCCTCGTGATAGATATTGAACAACCAGAGAAATACATTCAACTCCTTCCAGTACCGCCCCCTCCCCCCCACTTCAG